ATATTATATATATGTGTGCCTGCTTGCGAGGGCGTTGTCACGGGGGAGGGGACGTTTGTGGTTTTGTGGTTTGGTGGGGGGTGAATGAATCAGCATGGAGGGGGAGGGTCGCTGAGGCTGAACTCTTTCCTTTGTCTCTTGGAGTTCGGCTTCAGAGATCTTCTTTGTCTTGTGGTTTATTCCTTTCTCGCTGAATTGCTGATGTTTCTTTTCCTGTGGCAGCGTTCTTGCGGGTAGGTGTATATATATTCACATTTATTTATTCTTATATTTATATAGTTACATATTTTTAATCTATTTTGTGTGTGTGTGTGTGTGTATTTTACACATCTCCATTGTAAATAAGTTTTAACTTTATGGATTCTGTGTTAAATAAAGTTTATTATTATTATTATTATTATGACGAGTGATCTGAAATGGGGAAACCTTATGCCCAAACTAAAAATGCCACACTTCTCAATTTGAAACATTGATCTCATGTAGGCTGATGACGATGAAGAAGATTACGACCCTCTTCACAACAGTAACCATGATCACAACGGAGACATTGATATGGAGACTGGTAGTGAAGGTAAACGATAAGTTATAAACCTACCATAAAGAGGGTTAGAACCACTACTTGTGAGTTAGCTCAGTTGGTAAGAGCGTCGGTCTGTTGTGCGGGAGGTCATGGTTCAAGCCTTGGCCGGACCAACACTCAGGGTCTTAAAATAACTGAGGAGAAGGTGCTGCCATTGTAATTACATCTGCAAATAGTTAGACCTACAAGTGGATTGGATGACCACTTTTGCAGTTCCTAAGGGGGAGGGGGGAGGGTCTGAGGAAGATATATTGTGTAGTTCCAGTAAAATATCCATATGTTGTGCATCAGAATGTTGGCCACAATTAATATTCAGAAGATTATACCAGTTTTTATCTAATCCATTCATTCAGTCTTCCAACATTTCATTCTCGAAGATTAATTAAATTTCTATCTTGGTTATCCTTTAATAGCCCACAGCCCACTAAGCATTGACGAAAGCAATGACGTATTCTATGAATCCAATTACCTTCCTGGCCACTGTGAACAGTGCGGTAATGTCACAGAGATCCACCATCAACGTGGACCAAGGAGGTTTTGTTCTACTTCGTGTGCGCGCCGATACAGCGTTAGCTGCTCACGTAAGATGATGGCTTATCATGCACGGATGAAAAGTCCACGAGGGAGACAACCAAGTACTAATAATATCACTGGCGTGCAAGGACACAGAAAAGCTTTACATTCCACATCTAGAGTAAGTACTAAAATATTTTTCAAGGGTGAATTCACCTTTCCGGCGCTAGCTTGGATTGTGTTACGGTCACCAAAAAGTTCAGACATCGTTCTCGGATTTCCATACAAATTCACTACATACATACATACATACATACATTTATTGAGGCTCCTTTTTACAAGGCTTTTCAGCAACAATATAGATAAATATAATATAACACTAATATAAATGATACTATTATAAGAATATAAAATATAAGAATATAAAT